TCAATCAATCAATCAATCAAGTTTTTCCTTTGTGTAGTCAAAAACAACCATGGCATTGACCTAACGAACAGTGGCTCAACAAGAATTATCTAATGATTTTCAATTGTAAAAAGGCAGTCATAGGAAAAAGGGTGGCATTTAATAATAATAAATGGTCTGGTAATTGTGGGGATGGTATGAGATATTATAGAGGATGTGAATAGGCTATATTACACCTGGATAGGGTCACCAACCCCAAATCTACTTGGTACTTTTTTAAGCTTATATTCAGCATTCCTGGAAATGAAGTTGTATGTCTTATTAAAATGTACTTTGCAAAACCTAGCTAAATGAATTTCAGTAACTGGATATTCGAGAGGACAGTATGAGTCCAGCCAAAAGAAGTGTACAATAGCACAAACCCAAGATAATAATAGCCTTTCTTTTTCACTAAAATGTCAATGAACTGCTGAAAAAAATGTTCAGCGCACCCGGGAAGCTCACTTGTATACCAACCTTATGTGGAGGGTTCAGTCTGTTCGCGATCCCTACTGTTCATGGCTAATATCAATGGTAGATTTAGGGGTTTAGCATGGAGTTTAGCAAAAAATCTAAAATCATGTGAAAAATTATGCTACTTTGATACAGGAGAGAGCATGACTTTAACTATCAATTTTACCTGGTATTTCCCAAACTTGCGCTTCCAAGTCCTCGCAAATATACCCTATACAGGCTGAAACTCTTCCCTAATTTCCCACACTTGTGCTACCAAGTCCTCAAAAAATATAATAAATACAAATATAAATATGCAGTACAGTGCACAGGGCACTCATAAGTAATTGTTTTATTATGATAAAACTGCATAAATTTCATGGTTAATTTGTCTTTTAAACATTGTTAAAATGTATTATGCTGACATTTAATGATATTAATACACATATTTAATTGGTTGATTATAAATATTAAATATATCTTAATTATTATTATAATGATCATCTATTAGCACCCTGGCTATAAGAAAACTCTTTGAAAAAATTATCCAATGACGGCAAAGCATTGCAAAGCTAAGCTGACCAATCAGAAACTCTCAAGAATCATAAATCATTGTAAGGTCTTCTGACATGTTAAGTAATGAATAACGATTAAACCTTCATCTTAAATAAAGGAAGTAATCTATTTACATTCCATATATCAAGCATTACAACAGACCTGTTGACATTACAACAACAGAGGAATTGGAAGAATGCAGTGAATTGTTCAGGAGGAGACAACAGTGGAAGCAGAGTGGAATCTCTGTGCCTTATAAGGGAATAACATCCTGCAACAGGTTAGGAGAAGCACTTGGGGAAATGGGAGCGGTCTCCACCCCATAGCTAGAATCCATTCACAGGTTCACAAGCACAAGATTAAAAGGGGCTTTAAATATAAAGAATCCACAGATTGAAAAAAAGTGGTCAATATCTTGTACAATAGTAACCATAATAAAATTGAATATTGACCATAAAAATCTTTGTGGTGGTAGCCAACCCAAATTATCTATGACTTGGGGGACAGAGCCACAGACCCTACAACTGCAATGCTGTATACTAGAGGAAGCCTACTCCATTTCGAATCTTGCCCAATAAAACATGAAAGCAAAGAAGTGTGTCCAGGTATGGTTGGTCTATATACAGAGAGATGTTGTTAGTATGTGGATTCGAAAAGAAGAAAATTAATTAATATTTCTATTTTTATTCTATTCATTTCAGCAAATTACAAACAGAAAAAAAAAGAACAAAAAGATATAAAAGCTAAGAAGCAAAGACATAAAAATACTGTAGTGTCACTACGTCTCCAGAATTACAAATACAAGACAAGAACAATAAAATAGATACAATATTAATTAAAAAAGCACATCTCCAATCCAAGCTAGGTTGAAATAGTGAGCAAGGATCTTGCAAATTAAAATATATTAATCTAAAACACACCATTTAAAAATAAAAAAATACCCATATGGACCATACCCCCCCAAAAAAAATCAAAATTTGATCTATAAAACATCCACATAAAAATTAAAATGTATTCAGCAAACCAACATAAAAAACAATTTAAATGGGTGTTATTCAAACAGTAGAAATAGCTTAGATGAGAGCAGATGATAAAATATTATAAGCACATCTTGTCAACAAAATGTCAACAATAGGAAATCTGCAGACAATATGTGTGCCTATAAAATATTTGCGGAATTTCAATAGTTCAGAAATAATTGCTCAGGGTTTTCACACCTAGAAAGCAGGATTATACAGGTATTCCCAAAGCACAACAGTGATAAGAATCTATGGAATGCTTGTGTTTTTCTTTTTGGAAGTAGGTCTATTAATTTTTTTTATATGATGGCCAAGTGTCAATACAAGTGCAGGTTTGGCAATTGCATTTTATTCTGAAAATATTAAAATTAATATCATAAAAGTTTCTCAATGGTCATGCATTCTCGTCCCACCCTCTTCTTAAACTCCCCTTTTTATATCTTAAATTATTTTTACAAAATATATCTTTCCTCAACCCATCTTGTTATGCCAATATATCAAACATTATGCAACTTCGCAATGACTTCAGCCAATTCTGATTTGAAAATGGATGATGAAAAATACATTAAGCCCCATTAAACTGTGAATGACACATGAGCATTGTTTAAAAATTTTTTTCTGATGATGGTGCAAACATCATAAAATTGTAACATGCTGAACTTAACAAAAAACTTGGTCAATAATCGTACTGTAATCTATTCCCACCGGAAACTGATCGGGAACGATAGTGGAATTAACAATGTAACATGTGCGTAACACATTACCTCATTAAAAATGCCGGGTATATATTTTTTGTATACGTTAAATTGCCTTGCATCACTCAGTAAAATACAGTAATCCATTGGGAGCTGATCTCTATAAGAGTGGGTTTCGAGCAATTAAATGATACAAAATTAATTCTTATTATGCGATATAAAATTTCATAAACAGGAAATATGCATTATTAGACTTAAATTACTGTAAAAATAACTATTAATATAATCAATCAATCAGTAATGGCTACAAAAATACATATGGAAATGTATCTTAAAAATGAATTTTTTAACACCTTTAATCTCCTGTGTTTAATGAGAAATGGAAAATTTTTGGTGAATTTCAACAAAATTCATTAACAGAAAAAAATTGCCATTTTCAATACTGTGAAATCAAGTTAAGTAGTTCTTAATTATAGTCAATGTTTTACTTCCAATAAATTTTCTTCCTAACAATATGGAGGTACAGAAACTATGTTAGTTGTTAATCTAGTGATATTTATTTCTAATTTTCTTCTTAAGCAATATTATCATAGAGGTATAAAAGCAGACAATTACTATACCTCTATGGTACTGTATTATCATATTCATAATAGCACAGATATTATATAGGATCTGTAATAATAGACATAGGTACCTCAAAGATGCATTTAGGCCTACCCTGCCCTATCAAAAACCTTGAAGTTAAATGACTTGTAAGTTTGCGTGCAAAGAAGTTGTAATTGAAACTCGATTCTGATCAAAGAAAAGGGACATCTTTGTATTATATTCAATGCGAATATAATACCGAAGGCCTATGGGCATGATTTCCGAGGTTGGCCAACTTTACACAAGGCAGTTGTGGAATTCCAAATATGCCATTGAACAGTGTCAGCTCAGGCTGAGGAGAGCTTGTAGGTATGCAGGTGAATGAAGATTGATGTACGAGGGCAATGTGAGGTGGTTGGGTTGTTGATGTACATCTTATTCAGAACAAAAATTACATGTGCATATTAAGTACAGGTAATTTACATTATATAGAATATACATCTTCATACTGTGGTTTGGGTGTTTGGCTTGGAACTTTCATTTTTATTTTATTTTTTTTCTTTCTCATTTCCAAGCACCTATACATTTGTTTTTACAGTGCATAAATTTTAAAACCATTAAGGCCATAAAAAAGAGTTGTTGATCATCTTTTAAAAAAAGTAAAAGGGGTTGGTTAATCTTAAATTTCATCTTTAGCTCGTGCCTATGACGATCAGGATCATGTGGTCCCAAAAGTCTGGCATACCTTGTTAGGCTTTTGAATTATTCTTTTCGTTAAAAAAAAATAATAATTGGTCAGGTGATGTTTTTTTTAAGTAGGGAGGGGATGATCAACAACTTTTTTTTTACATGGCCTAACCATATTGTAATATTAGTGAAAAATATTGTCATAATTTACTTTCTAATTTTCTATTATTCTTGTGATAGAAATAGTATAATATATAAAATGTATATATTCATGTCATTTGGTTTTACATCACTGTACATAGGCCCCAATAAAGTTAAAGCTGCCTTTTTTAATTATACATTTTAATGATAAGTAAGATAGTAATATCTAAATAAAATAATAATTTGCAAAATAAGAAGGGATTTCTATTACTTTAACTTTTATTGTTTTTTTCATTATGAAAGTATTTGTAAATATTTTTAATTTAAAGTAAATATTTCCTATTCTATGTAGGCCTGATCTACAATATTAACATAATAAATATTAGTGATAAATGGATAAATTAGAACTTCAATATTGCTAAAAATTCACCCACAAAACCTCAATGAGAAATGAAATTATTTAATTTTTCAACAACAAGGAATGCAAGTGTGATATCTTCCTTGGAGCCTGGAGCATATTAAGTAAACCTAAAGTCGCGCCACAAAAATTTACTTGATTTCTGTCATGGGACACTGTAAAATGCAAGAGCAAAACTCTTAAGTCATATTTTACAGTTTGACAATTCTTTCGAAATTGCAAACAGTTTTTTTTAGGCCTGAAGGAAGTTTACTAGTTTAGCAGACAAGTGGTTAGTAGATACCTATCAGTCCAGAAACACCCCCTCTGAATGTAACCGCTGAATCAGTCACTCAATTATTCAGGCGGAAGCGTGTTGGGTGACAAGTGGGCGGAGCCTAGAGAACGGTACAAGGTGATAGGCTATAAAAGCAGCTAACAGTCAATGGATTGTCATCTGGTTGATCAGTAGCAACACAAACAAGACTAGTTAGTACAACAACTTTACTACTACTACTAGAGCTGAGGACAAACTACTGTTGATATTTAGTTACCTGATAACTTCTAGCAGCTTGAAACTTTTTAGTATCCAGTTTAAATTTTACTCAACCAACATGAACAATTTTGGAATCAATTTGTGCTTAGCAGCCCTGATCATCTTATTGGAATTGCAGGTGATTTTTGCCTGTCAATGTGGAATGCCAAAACATCCACAAAGAAGTTTCTGTGAATCAGATTATGGTGAGTACAAATTTTTCTTCCATAACTTCAACAGTATATAGTATTTTTGTTCATTATCTTATAGTATAATATATTTTACAATAGTAGCTATATTTATTATTTACATATTAATACATAATTTGGAAATCTTGCAAATTAGATTATCTATCTGTGTTCACAAGCACGCACACACACACACGCACACACCAACTGCATTAACTTGTCCTTAATAAATTAGTTTGTCTACCACATATCTCACAATTGTTTTGTTATCCGCTCTTTTGTTACATGATGTCTGTATTTATTGTTTGCCGAATAAAGAAATAAAAATAATAACAAAATGTATTGACCATAGAATAAAAAAGTCATTATGTTATCATCTAGACTATAAGTTTCTTTAATTAATAATGTTTATTTTTTTCATTCCAGTAATAAAAGTTAAGGTGATAGAGAAGACAACATTCAAGGACCCCGACTACGTAGAGCCCACCGATGCACTCTACCCGAGCTTTGACAACTTCTGGGGTGGTATGGAGATGGATCAGTACATCCCGGAAGCCCACAAGATCAAGTACTCAGTCTACGTTGAGAAAGTTTACAAAGGCGAACAATATGCCTCCAGAAAAACAAAGATCGAGTTGGAAACATCAGCTAGTTCCGGAATTTGCGGTATAACATATTTAAAAGAAGGAGAAAGATATCTTATCGGAGGTAAGAAGAAAACTTGATTATGTTTCTTTTAATAAAAATTAAATTACTGTTTTAAACTTATGTACAGCTAAAAAATAGTATAAACAAATTTTAACAGATAAATAATTTTTTTGAAAAATTATAATATATGATATAAAACTTGTTCTCAATTATTCATAAGTTATATACCTCTAAAAACAAATGAAACAAAGGTTATTAAATGTGTTCGAAATATATATATTATTTTATAAGACTTTGTTCTCATTTCATAATTTATGTACAGTTAAGTAATAATGTTCAATAATATAAATTCAATTATTTTATATAATTTGTTTTAAATATTTATAATTTATGTACAGTATTATTAATCCAATTTTACTGTTTTTCTTTTAGGTGTTCTTGATGATGATACAAAGGAATTTACTATTGCCCTCTGTGACACATGGATTGAGAAATTTGAAGATGTGACCAAAACCCAACGCCAAGGCATTAAGCGATTCTACAAAAAATACTGCAACCAATGTGCTGTAAGTATAATAACCAGTTACACTTATATTTATGTTAAAATGTGTGATAAACCAACACTCATATTGCATATAATAGGCCTATACATTGGAAACTGTACATTTTGCATTCATTCATTTAAAAGAATAAATAAACATTAATTACTGTTATTGGAGAACTTTAATAACTAGGCCTAAAATTTTGACCATGTATTGGTGCTTTCATTTTCATTTCAATCATAGATTTGGTTAGACCCTTATTAAAACTGTGTCACTTCGGGAAGATCAAAACATCAAAATAGGAATCTTTTAATTTCCCTTCCATTTCAAGTTCAGATTTTTAGTATATTTATAGATTGGTTTGAACTTTACCTGCTCATAGTTTCGTCAAGAAAAGGAAGTTATAATTATAATTAGACGGATGCAAGGGAAAGGGGAATTGCAACGGAACAAGTGAAGAAATCCTGCTACCAAGTTATCAGTGTCCAAATCAAAGAAAAAGCTAGTTTCCTACTTTCACTTAGCTAATTAACCTTACTGCTTTATCATCACTTAATTTTATGTTTTTTTGTTAATTTTTACAGATTGAAGCTGGTGATATTTTCTTCCCACCTGAGGTTCCAGCCAAGATGAGGCGCATCTGCGGATACTCGCCATTCAACACAGCAGAAAACGACTGCGAGAAAAACTTTTCCGCCTGTGTACGCTTACCAGACGGCAGCTGTGGTTGGATGAACAGCAAAAGCTACAAGCAATGTGTGAAAGCACGAAAAGATAAAACGCCGAAGAAGCAGAAGCAAAGACGAAACAAGAAGAAACAGTAAAGCGTGCAAAAACCGGTGATGTAGAATTGTAGAATATCTATTGTGCGACTCTCAGGGTATTAACATGGCTTGTACAACAGCTTAGTCCGCTCTTTCTGAAGAGGAACCATGTTGTACCCTTACTAAGCAGCTGGTTGATTGACAATCAAAATCAAAACAGGAATGCATTTGGAAATTCAAGAGCAATTCTTTATTGTGGACAAATTCTTTTCTTTACATTAAAGAAAGAAAATATACAGAAAAAATTATGGACCAAAAACTTGATAAGAATTATTAAAACTTGATCCATAATTAATTCTAATAACAAACAAAAAAAAAATGACTTTCTGTATAATGAAAAGAATTGTTATGAAAGTGCCTTAACCCTTTAGCCACAACTTTGGAAGGGTGAATTAAAAAAAATATGTGCAATATGTATTGAAATGATTTTATGGACATTTTTTATTTCCTGCAATGTCTGTGGAGCTGTAACAATTTTAGATTTTTTTTAGTTTGGAATGCTAGCACTAGGTTTCAACTGAAGGGGTTAGGAATGCAGGCTTAGCGTGAGAGCAATTGTGGAGAATGTTGTGTGCTGTTATGTTTACCCACATGGCAGTGAGCTGATATTTAACAATGTGCACCATCGCTGGACTTCGCTCCAAGGCTGCAACTAAATTTAGAACTTGACAAAAAATTCTCAAAATTTCAAGCATATTTTTTAAAAAACAATTTCTCTCAACTATTTCTTCATGATAAGATTTGTTTATTTTTTATAGAACTACCGATTTAGTAAGACTCATCATCAAGTGCCTTTAAAACTAGATAAGACATTGATTGATTGTGTGATAATTTAATATAATTCATATATTTTTTTATTCATGTCATCTATTGGTAGAGTATAGCAGATTATTTTTAATTTCTTTTGTTACATTTATCCTCATTGGACTCTGCATAAGTGATAAAAAAGTATTCCGTGTATATTACTTGTAAATATAAATGGACGTATATAAAAGATATATTATGGACTATAACTGCTATTATTGATAGGTTGTTGCCTAAAGATATAAAGCATATATGTGATATTTTAAAGTAGATTAACTTATATATTTAAATTGTGTGCCAATTCTTTTTTCTGCGCCCTCTAACTTAGGGAGACTTAATTTCGTCGGCGCAATTCCCACCGAGCAAAGAATTTGCATAGCAAGTTAATAATTTTGACATGTTAAACTTCAGAAGTTTGTACTTGAAAGATGGGTTTATTACATATTTAAAATATTTAATGACTATCCTTTTGGGATTCATGTATACTTTAACCATTAATAATTAAGATCCATGTCATCAGTGATTTCAGCATTTGATTAAATCCCTTATTGATTCCTATAGATTACTTCTGAACAACGTGGGTACATATTTATTTAAAGAACATACTTGAACAAAGATGTATATCATAATTAAGACATTTGATGTAATGAAAAAGATATTTTGTTATAAAACAAAAATTGATATGTGACTGAGATGAATAAATTATAAAAAGATTATATATTTGGTTGTATTAGTATTTTATTAAAGAGTGAGTATAAAACATACAAAGGGATTGCTGAGAGTGTGGAATGAGAGATAAGAATGAAAGAGGAATAATTGGATATTAAAGGAATCTCAACGGAGAAAGATTTTCAATACAGTTACTAATTCATCATCAAGCAAGATAAACTCTGAATAAATACACACCTAAAAATAACTAAAATCAACTTCTGTTCTACTCGATTCTTAGTTGAAAACAGATAATACAACAGTTTTTATGTTCTTTAATGAACGAAACATATTATAACAATAAGGAGCTACTTCATCAAGATTATTTAAACAGTGAACAAACAATAAAACCAGATTAGTTCTCTGTGATAAAATCAGGAAGAAAATACATTTAATTAAATTTATTAAATTGCTCATTCAAAAATGTTATTGATTTTCAATGGTGCAGAGGTAAGACTTTTACTACAGCAAATTAAATTGATTACTGGCTGATTTTAAAGTCTCAATGAATAAATGAACAGTGTTATTTATGCATAATTGTTATTGGTAAGGAATATACTTTCTCACAACTTAAATTGAAAGCTAATATAAATGTACAAAGTAATTCCAGTATTGAATTGTTTATACCAGTTGATTAGCCAAATGCAGACAGCGTCTTTATTATTTATAAAAACATTGAATTAGGGCCTATATCAGGATTACAAAAACCAATAGTGTATCTAGCTCTCCCCTTCCCACGCACTCCCTAGATACACCACTGACCAAAACTGGTATTAATAGAATTTTAATAGCTTGATACAGTTTTATCTAAACTTTAAGTATGTTTCAAACCTTTTTCTTCAGTCTATAAAAAAAAACCCCCAATTTCCAATACAATTAAATTATGAATTAAATTTAAATTTATTAAAATAGATTTTGAATTATGTAAATGTTTCTATTGATACCAACTGGTATAATCAGTGAGGTATTGTGGTATATCTACAAATCCAAACTTACACAAATTCCAAACCCTAACTGACTGACTGACTGACTGGATGACAGTCTGCAACATTCAAAATTAATGATGATTGACATTATAATGTTGATTGGCTTTAGCCCCCCCTCTGGTAATCTTGTCACCAAAGAAAAATCAGAATGAAATTACTGATGACATGTCAACTGGTTATTCAAATAAACCCCCTGTCTTTATGATTAATTTGGACCCTGTATTTTTCCTATGCAGCTATTAAAAATGTTAACATCCAGAGATTGGAATTATTGATTGGCAGTAGTGCAGCCAGTACTCATTTACATACGTTTACAGTTAGAATTTATCATACACAATTATTACATTTAGTACGAGAGAATAATTTGAACGGGTTATTACGATATTCTGACGGGTGACATATCCAAGGAGAACTGGCAGGTTGGCTAACAAGGTGTGACTTGTGTTGTGGATAGGTTTTGGTGAGACCATACCAAACATTCCTCTGGACTCAGGGGGTGGATAGAAACATTGGTGTAATGGCTCAGAGACTTAGAATGAGACATAGATTGATTTTGACATAGAATTATATTCAATGTATACATTCATATATTTGATTTTCTAGATGATCATGGAGCAGGCAGAACTATTTCAGCATTAAAATCAAGGCACATCAGTAATTTGGGTGAATGGCTGGTGAAGTTATATAATTTTAAAGTTTAAAATAATGTAAAATTTGTACATTATTCTGTCAAAGAGAAAATTTTAATGATCTTTAACGGTTCCATGCTCTCCCCAAAGCTGAATTATATGGTTAAAATAGGCACACCCTCTCAGTACATGCAATTCAATTCCTGGAATTAAAAAAAAATGGACAAAATTCTTTGATGAAATTATAATTTTAGTGCAAAAGTTGAAATTCCAACATACAGTACTATTAAAAAAAATTGTATTGATGGGTAGATTAAATGTAACTTTTAAGCCAATCAAACAAGCTGTAGCAGTGAGTTTTTATAGACTACATGTTAATTTATACGGTACACAAAGGAGAATCTTGGTTTCACAGTTTCTTTTAAACTTGAAATGAATTAAAACGTTCCATGAAAAAACAAAGATACAAGCTTTGTTTCAATAAACGTCTTGAGTGTTTTGGTATTAACAAAAATAATTTAAAAATAATTTACCTATCCAAATAACGTTATTTTGACGGCCAATCCCTAATATTGTGGTTTAAATGCACAATTGGACCATACTAAACCATAAAAAATCTTCCAGTGAACCCTACAAAAGGGAGTTTTTATTCCGGGCCGTTTGGCTCAGACTCCTCCACTGGACATGCTGGACAACTTGTCGGCATATTTCTGGCACCACCGCTATCTATATCCACAACTCATATTAATGTTTTTGAAAACTTTTCAAGATTTAGGTGATTAAGTTACTGAAGAATAAAATGTTTCCTAAATGTATACCAGCTGTACATAAATGAAATAGACGGTTGCTAGATCTAATAATCGAAAACACGCATAAAAAGCGTTTTCCCAGTCGTTATTTATATAATTTCTATGTCTACCACCTATATTCAGGAGGGAGATTTGATATAATATGATGATGCAGCTAAAAACATGTAATCTTGCTGCACGACGGTGGCGAAAATAGCGCTCTTTCGTTTTAGACGAAGTTGGCACTTGCTGAAATTACAAATAGGCAGTTTCTGAAGAATCATTGTTTAATGGAATTCGATGGACAATAACAGGAGAATGGGAAAATTAATATTCCCTGATGATAGAGATGAAAATAATCCATTGGGATCAGAATGGGAATCGAATGGAAAAATGGCAAAACAAAATCTTACAAGGTTCAAGTGATGACTATAAAATATTACATTTTGCAGAACACATTTTATAAGAACACTGAGGCTGAAATTGCTTAAAAATTAAGAACAAAATAAGAAAAAATTGAGGCTGAGGTAAAATGTCAAATGAGGTTTTTAAAAAATCCAAAAATTATATCTGTACATTATGTGAAGTAATGTAGGTGTGACTATGTAATACCCCCTATTATCAGGTGTACTGTTATTTGGGGCCATTTTTACCAGGCCTTTTTCCTGGGGCAATTTTTCCAGGGAATTTTTTCAGGGCCCATTTTTGCTGTACAATAATAATTTTTTATGTTTGAAAAGTGTGTAAAATAAGAACAAATTTAGAACATTTTGAGCCTGAAATCGGCCAAAAAATAAGAACACTGAGCCTGGGCAAAACTTTACTGGTTCTTGTAAAAAAAAAAGTGTACTGGTACTATGTTAATAATATACTGTAACAAGACATCTAGAGCTGGGTCTTGATTCCTTATTGAAGTACACATCTTTGATGATAGGCCCAGGTGAGAAGAATGCAGAGGATGTAGCCATGTTAATGTAACACAGCGTGAGGTATACATCCACGGTGCTACTGTACTTTGGTCTAATGCACAGAGATGAGTACTAGGGACATTTTATGGTAGGGTATACATTCTATTACAGGGACAGGGTATGAACATTTGGCAATTAACCACTGAAGGATGTAACAATGATGACATTGGTATTTCAAAAGTAGGAACAGAGTATGGACATTTGGCAATTAACCACTAATGGATGTAACAATGATAAAATTGGTATTTAAAAAATACGTCATAGGTAGTGTGTGTTATTATGTATATAATTTTTAAATAAAGTTTGCTGCATAGCACTGTAAACACAATATAAATAAATAGCACTGTTATTAAATATCTATGTTTATATGTACAGTATATATACTTTATATATAAAATATAGGACTATATATTATACATGCATGTTTTACCTATGAATGCAAAATAAATATTTAAAAAAAACATGACCTAAGAACATGTTTACGCTTGTAAAATTATGAACAATTCAAAGTATTTCTACAATGAAAAAAAATCATAAAATATTGTTGAATTAAATTCTAACAAAGAAAAAAGCCTTTATATAGATTTTACAAAACTGAAAGTGACATTTCTATGGAACTATATATTTTTTCCAACAAATAAAAAATCCTATAAATGGAAGTTTTAAGTGATAAATTTTATTCTTCCTGTTCTGTCTGGAAAAACTCCTCTGGAACAAAATAAATATACCTGAGAGAGATTTACTACCTTTAACTTGTTAAACCTGGAATCATTTATATCATTATTTTCTAATCACTCTCCTAGTTTCTATGGTTACATTTACTTTCATAATGGATGCATGCTTTAAGCTTATTATACTGCAAATATTAATAAAATGTAGGCCTACTTTATGTTGTCAAGTACTTTACTGACATGGTTAAGTTAAAACTATGTATTATAAGCTTCCCTTCCTCATCAGCTTATAGGAGGCAAGCTATGATTTATTTTATGACATTTAAGCATATATAGGTATTATTGCATAATTACACCCTGTTTGGGAAGTCTTAAATTAAATTAAATACATTGTATGTAAAGGGCATGTAAAAGGCAATATTAAGTAGGAATATTATAATATAATTATAGTTCAGTATTTATTTTTAACAGCTATGTGGCATGTCACATTTTCTAATAGTTAGGGAAGCATGTCTAAATGCCTTATGTAGTGCTTCAACAGCCAGTCACAGGGTGGAAAAATGGTAGTTACAATTGTTTTGTTTTGGTGAACAAAATAGTTAGGGAGACAAGTCTAAATGTCATACATGCTTCAACAGCAAGTCACAGGGTAGAAAAAATAGTGTGCTTAAAATTGTTTTTTGATTTGGTGAATACAAAGAATTAACTAGCATTTTACACTGTATAAAGTAGTAATAAAAATGTAAGGTTAAGTAAAAAAATACAGACACACCAGAATTATCACACACATATGTGTCTGCCACTTATTAACTTTATGTTTTATTTTAGATTTGAGTTCAAAAAACCAGCATAAACGATTCTATAAAAAAAAAACAACTGAGGTGAAAAAAAAAAAAACAAATTCAATAATTCAATCTCATCTTATTGAAAGATCATAAATTAAAAACCACTTCAAATTATTAAATTGT